CCAGCGCGCAGCCGAGTGGGCTGGAGCCAGCCATGCGCCTGGGCTCCTCACGCAGCTGGACAAGCTGCCAGAGGCATGGGGCTCCAGCAACTTCGAGGTGGCATGGGCGGCCACACGCACCCAGGTGGAGGCGGTGCGGGCGCAGCTCGCGGTGCCCCCGCCAGCCCCCTAGCGAGCGCCGTGGGCCGAGTCCTGCCCCATGGGCGAGATCAGCAGCGACGACGGCGAGCTCGCAGGCGGCAGCGAGCCCTGGCAGCCGCAGGCCGCAGCGGAACGTGGCCAAGCCGAGCGGCACGGCAGCGCGCTCGGCGAGTGGCCGCAAGTGTCCCAGGCATGCAAGAAGGGGCTGGTCGCTGAGGCTGCGGACCTGGCCCCTCTGGCTGCTCGCCCTGCTGGCCACGCAGCTGGGAGCGGCAACGGAGGAGCGCAGCCAGCGCAGGCGAGCGCCTAGCGGGGCCAGTGCGGCGGGGCAGCGCCTGCGCGCGAGCAGCGGCGCCGAGGAGGCCTGCGGCGGCGGCAAGCGGCCTCGCGGCCTCGGGGGCGGGCTGACCCCGCCGGCGCCAAGCCAGGCCCCAGCGGCGGCTCAGGGCCTCCGATGCGGGCGGGAGGCTCTCGGAGTGCGCGGCGGCGCTAGGGGGGGGGGGGGCCTGGAGGAGACTGGGGCCACCGTCTGTCGGCGCGGAGCCAAGCCCAGCCAGGGGCAGCCCCAGGTGGCCAGTGCCTCCCCGCGCCGCCCAGAGGAGGCCAGAGGAGCCGAGCGCAGCAGGAGCATTGTCTCCCTCCGCCCGCGCGTGCCCTCGGGCTTGGAGGGGCCGCTGTTTCGCGCAGGCCTGGAGCGGCTGGCCCGCAGGCTGAAAGGAGTCATGGGCCTCCTGGCGCTTCAGGAGGCGATGCCCCAGCCCCTGGGCGCCCGTGCTGCCATGCTTGTCTTCTTTCCCCAGTCGGACGGAGCAGTCCGACCGATAGCGAACGGCCCACGGCCCATGCGCATCTGGGGCAGCCCGAGGCAGCCCATCGGCGCGCCGCGGGAGGCGGAACACGATCACCGCTTTTTTTGTTGCAAGATGGACCGCAAGTATGACAAGGCAAGCTGGCTGCACAGCGCCCGCGCCGCTCTTGCGCGTGTGAGGGGGGGGGGGGGGGGCCTCCCCCAGCCTCTGCCTGGACATCGCCAAGCTCTACGTGAGCCTACGGCATGCCTTCCTGCGGCGGCGCGGAGTCGAGCATGGCTTCGACCCGCGGGTACTTGGAGGTCTGCACGTGCTCTACCAGGCGGGCACTGGGAAACGCAGGGCTGGACTTTCTGTAAGACGTTGCAGGCCGGGAACCTCTGCACGGGCGCCGCCTGTGCGGGGCGAGGAGTGCATGAGAGCCGAGTAAGAGCCCCTGGGGCCGTGCGCCGTGCGCGCGGGCCGCCTCCGTGTCGCGGGAGTGGGGCTGCACCCGTTCCACAAGGATGTGCCTGCGGACAGAACGGCGCAGGGTCGCTCGGGGCGCTCGGGGACACGGCAGACCCTGCAGAAGCACCACCACGCGGCGGAGATCGCGCAGGAGCTCGGGCGCTGGATCTGTCGGGCCGCCAGCATCTGGCACGGCATCGCGGCCAAGGATTGCGAAGCGCTCCTTCCTGCTGCTGAGCGGCGCCATGTGCGGTTTGCCACCGCCGAGGAGTCCCAGGCGGCGGAGGATGCCGCTGGTGCTGGGCCGATGGCCAAGTGGCCACGCCTGGAGAGCGCTCGCTCGACTGGCAGCAGGTCGGCCGCCCCCTCGGCCAGCGCTGTAGCCTTCAGCACCCTGGGACACGCCCTGTCCCACGCCTGCGCTGGAGAAGGCGAAGACACCCAGGAGCACGAGGCGTGCCCCATGCGCGGCGCCTACATGACGCTGGGCGGCTGCTCAGGGGAGAGGCCTCGCCTCAAGGAGCGCTGCCCAGGCGGCAAGGCCGACGAGGCGGGCAGGAACCAGCGCAGCCTGGGGCCACGGGGACTCCATCCAGGAGGCAGGATGCAGGAGGTGTCACGAGCTGCCAGGCACAAAGTGAAAGGATATGGCATCCCTGCTCTGCTTTCGCAGGGGCCTGTGCCTGAGCATGCGCAGGTGCGATACCTGGAGTGGCTTGGCATCACAGCGGAGCCAGCGGTCGACTCCTCGGCCACTGCGAGCAGTGCGGGCAGCGCCCCAGCGGCTGCCGCAGTGCTGAGGTGGCGGAGGGACTTGGCGAGGCCCCCACGGATGCGTCCGTCGCGGTGGCCGTTGCCAGCCAGCCTCTGCGGCGCCCAGCCGCGGCGAGAGCTGGGCTCCTCGGGGCCCTCGGGATCACCGAGGAGGAGCTCGCCGCCGCGGCCAATGCAGCAGTCGACACCCTGGAGGACCGCAGGGTACGCCGCCGTCTGGCGCGCCGTGGCGATCCGACCGTGAGTGACGGAAAGATGTGCATCGGTGAGGCTCGCGCCAGCTGCTCCCCGTGGTGAGTAGGCTTCCGTCGCCCTCGGCGCTCGCTTGGGACTCGGCTTCTCTCGGGAACGTGGGTCCCGTCTGGCCCTGTCCCTGTTTTCCTGGCCGCCGTCTGCCTTGAAGGCCCCGTCTTTAACTTTAACTTTAACTTTAACACACAGGGAACACGGCAGAGCGCACAGGAGCATGGCATAACACACAGGGGCATGGCAGAACTCACAGGAGCACGGCAGGCCACACAGAACACACAGGAGCACGGCAGAACAAAGGAGCACGGCAGAGCGCACAGGAGCACGGCAGACCATTCCGAATACGGCAGAACATGGCAGATTATACAGTTGCGCGGCAGAGCACGGCAGAACACACAGGAGCACGGCAGAACACACAGGGAACACGGCAGAGCGCACAGGAGCATGGTATAACACACAAAACACACAGGAGCACGGCGGATTGGCGCGGTAGCCCACGGGAGCACGAGAGTTTAACACGATAGACCCACAGCAGCACGGTAGAGCGCAACGGCAGACCACAGCAGTCCAGCAGACCAACATGGCAGAACATCGCTGTTCACCAACACAGGGAATTGGCAGCATTTCTGTTAGTCGTCTGCGTTATGTCTCTGGGTTTCCCTGGCGTTCTCCACCATACGTTATTTGACAAGCTTCGTGGACGGAAGCGACGCTTCCCGTTCTTGTCCGGCCAGGTGTCAAAAACGCAGTTTTTCTTAAACATCTTCAAACAATCGGCCCCGGAGGGGACTCCGAATCGACATCGTCTTGCAATCGTTCCCGGATGGCTTCCGAACGACCCAAAGGAGATCCCAAAGACGTCCCGAAACGGCCCCTAGAGCGCCCAAAGAACGCCCCAAGAGATCCCCAAAAGACCCCCAAGAGCGCTCCACGAGGTACCCGGACAGCTAAGGAGGGCCCCAAGACGGCCCAAGACGAGCCAATTGCGCAAGAGATTCCCGAGAGCGCCCCAGGAGGCCCCCAAACGGCCAAAGAAAGCCCCAAGACGGCCCCAGATGGCACCGAGACGGCCCAAAACGCCTCCAAAAGAATCCCATGATTCGCCCAGACAGCCAAAGAAGACCCTGGAAACCGACAAGAGGACCCCAGAGGCCCCTAAGAAGCTTGCAACAGGCCCCAAGACAACCCTGCGTGGCGCTAGGAACTCCCAGGGTCGCACGATTGGGTCGCCAGGACCCTCTCTTGATTCAGCGTCCTTCCCCAATTGCCTTTTAATGTCCTCCGTCGTCGTCGTTGTCGTCGTCATCGTCCTCCGCATTTCTCCTCGTGCTCGCTCTCGTTCTCTTCGTCCTCGTCCTTGCGCTTCTCTTCCTCCTCGTTGTCCTCATTTTCCTCCTCGCTATTCTCACGCTCTCCACCTCGTCCTCGTCGTCGCCTCCTCGTCGCTCTCGCCTTTCTTGTCTTTTCCTTCGCCCAATAAGCCCATTGGACTAAAGCGGCGCTTCCCGTTCTTGTCCGATCAGGTGTTCCGTGGAAAGGGACGGTGGGTTTGCACGCAGCAGGCAACATGCCCCCTTCCCGCCGTCCGCTTTTCAATCCAATGCCAAGTTATCGCGGGGCGCCCGCGCATGTTCCGGACTTTGGTGCAAGGTGCATTTCGTATGTTTGTTTGCAAGGGATGGTCGGGGAGTGTTGGCAATGCAAGATTCAAACAGCAGGCAATATGGCGACACCCCCGCCGTCCTTGCAACCAACCAATGCGCAATTATCGCGGCGCGTTCGCGCATGATCCATATGTTGGTGCGAACTGTTATATTTGCATGTTTTGTGCACGGGATGATGGGGGTGTTAGCATTGCGCACAGCAATCAATATGCAGGCACTCTCGCCGTCCTATTTGCCTTTTGACAAGGGTGGCCATGGGGTCGCCAGTCGGGGGGGGAGGGGGGTATATTGATAAGGGCCCTCCCCCTAGCAGGGTAAGGAGTGGTTTTGGAAGGGGGAAGCAACCAACTCGTCACACCACCTTCGCCCAGGGCTGGTGGGACTGAATCGCCTCCCTTCCCCCCTCCCTCTTTCTGAGGTCCCCAGAGGTCCCTGGGGGTCTCTGGGAGGACCCGGGAAGAAACTCTGAAAGAGCTGCAGATTTCTACAAGCATCAGTCCTCCATGGTGAGGCTTCAGGCTGCGCACAGACGGCCCCCCTAGGTAGTCCTGGCTGGCCTCGACAGGACCCCAGAGCATCCTGCCTTGGGGCGCTCGGCGCTGCAGTGGCGGCGCCAGGGTGCCGAGACCGCCACGAACTGCTCGGGGGTCCTGTGGAGGACAGCCGGGACTGAGTGGGGGGGCGGGCTGGCTGCCTGTGCACAGCCCGAAGCCTGTTGCCAATCTTCGAACCTCAAGAGCATCCTCGAACGTCGAGTCTCGAACGTCGAACCGTCGATCCTCGAACGTCGAATCGTCGATCCTCGAACGTCGATCCTCGATCCTCGGTCGTCGAGTCCTTCAACCCTCGAGCGTCGACCCTCGGTCCTCAACAGCAGGGGGGGGGGATGGGCAGGAGGGCCTCCTTGGCGGCGCGCGCCCCAGGGCGGCCGCACCGCCACCGTGGAGCTGCTGGTCGACAGGGGGGCCCGCACGGGCGGGCTGGACTTT